GGTGGTACCACCTATTAAGGCGGTTGCACACACGACACAACCACACAGTTTTTTTGCCACCCTTTGCGAGGCAATCACACGACATTACACCTAAACACGGCGGGAATAAAAGCGAAAGACGTCGGATCCCGGCTGATTAAATTATTTCGCCATTATTTGATTCGCCACCTCTTTCAAAATGGCGGCAAAAATTGCATTGCGTATACAATTGTACGTACTCAAATGAGTGTAGTTTAGATGCAGACAAAACGCTGATTAAGTAACCCTTACCAATATTAAAATGAAAAACATAATAAATCTATAATTTATAAAGTTCCGTTAGTTACATTACTGCGATCCTCTTAGTTTATATCTTTTCAAGCTACCTACATACTCAATCATTCTAAGAGTAATAACAGAATAATTTTATATTGCAAATAAACGGTTTTCCTGTTATTATATCATAAAATAGAAATTAATTTTACTTAAATAGAGTTGTTAATAAGTTATTTTTAACCGTCACTTTATTACTTTAACAATTAGTTTCGGAATATTGTTATATGCTAAAAAGAACCTGTAAATACTATAGCCTAGGCTCGCACTTATCAAAACAAATTTAAATAATTATGTATATTTTATTTATCTACTTATTTATTTACATAAACAGTCTTACCAAAGTCTGATACATTTATAAATTTAAATCTTAAAAATAATGCACAATCACCAATCCATTCAACTACTTCCCTTCATTTTCTTTCATAAAAACCTTCTCTTATATAAATCCTGATTGTTTTTTAAATCAGGGTCAATAAAAACATATGCTACAAACCCATTAAAAATATAATTAACCGAATAGATGCAACCATTCGTACAACCCGCCATAAACTAAAATTTCATCCCAACCATCTGGACAAGTAGCGGTCCTCCACCGTGCGTTTCTCAAGGCACTTTCTTCCACGCACAACCACTCTTTGGAATCAACTTCCAGCAGCAGTATTTCCGAACCGATACGACAACATAACTTTCAAGAAAAGAGCATATTCCCTTTTAAAAGGCCGGCAGCACACCTGCAATGACATTGGTGTTGTAGGTGATCATGGGCGGCGATAGTCACTTACCATCAAGTGAGCCGCAAGCTCGTTTGCGCCCTGTGTTGTAAAAAAATGAAGCGTTTACATACATTTGGCAATTGATTTTTATTTATATACGTATATATGTAAAGTTAACTTTTCAGCAAATCAATTATAAATAATAAAAAAAGCATATCAGTGCCACAAGCAACACCCTTTTACCAGTATGATGGATGAGGCAATTAGTATTAATAACAATATTATATGTATCTTTCATTACATACCATTCCCTCTTAAATTAATCACGTCAAAATTTTCTTCAGGTAAGCTATCAGCTTATTTTTCATTCTAAGTTGTAAAAACAATTAGAATCGACAGGGAATAAATCCCTTTCAGAACAAAACTTATTCAATTCAATCAGATAGATAAATATTTAGTTTTTAAACCTTAATTAATACCAGTTACATTTCTATATTCAAAATACACGGACACTAGTTCAACTTTCACTGTCGTTTTATGATAGTCACCGACGGTAAATTTGTACCGATGCGAAAGCAACTAACTAACGAGGTGAAGCTTTCCTCTACATTTATATATTTCTGAGAAAAATATACTCAAATAATCAAATTCGGATCGGAATATTTATTCATGGAATCAATATTATTCTCAGGTTGTCAAAAGAGGTAACCAAAGGAGGAATAACTCAAACTGAACCGAATATCAAGTAGCCTGGCCATAAAGTAAGGAAGTAATACAACATTCTAAAGGAGTCTTTCTTATATAGTAACTACGCTGTATCTTCCTCTTATAACGAGAGACCTGAAGGGAAAGGGATTGTTAGTAATGGAGTCAAATAGCTCCATTACTAGCAATATTCCCTGTCAGGTCGACCTCCACGTGGTTCCCCCTGGAAACCATCGTGGCTAATTCTAGTTGAGTTCATCAGGATGGGCAGACTTACCTGCTTTTATCTTCATGAGTCATCTTTCACTGGTGCCCCGCCAGTGTATACCGATAGCACAGGCAGGGTTACCATACCATTATCATTACCATTCAAAAATAAAAAGCCTAGCCGAGTAGTTAATGGGTAAACAGAATAGAATAGGAATCGGATGCAAAATATTGTCAATCTACTGATAAAAAGCCCCAAAAAATATAAGAAAACTTCCACTGATTTAAGAAAAACTGCACGTTCAATCAAGTCATCTAAAGCGTTATTTATCATTGTTGTTTACTTAAAAAATCCCAGTTTTTTCATGTGACGTCATTCGCCTCATTTCAGAGTCAATAAGAAAAATAACCTATGTTATTTCTTAATGTACAATATATACCCATATCAAATTTCATCAAGTTGTTTAGTAGCTTTGTTCTAAACCCTAAACAAAATAAACTATAGTACACTAATACGGAAATAAAATATGATTATTAAAAAAAGCAATTATCAAATTTATTCAAATATATACAAGAGAGCTTTTATTCTGAAATATAATTTAGACGGACAGAATATTGAATTATTTTTAAAGATATGCACTTGAGAACTGACATAGAGAAATGAATAAATCTTTAATTGAGGTACTAGTATTTTGTGTCAGTATATATTACCAACACTAGATTTACTAAGGTTACAATGAAGCTGACATTGTTCTCATAAGAGAAAAGTCCCTATGTAAAAAATAAAACTAAAATACTTAATTGTAAATAAAAAACATCGTATTGGTAATGTAAAAAACTGCTGAATTGAGAACTTCCTTCTTTATAAAGTTGGTAGAATTTCATAAAAATAGTGGTACCAGTAATACTTATAAACCTGAAAGTTTTCAACTGGTACCCTGTTATCTACCTATCATGTCTATTTATACTTCTAACATAATAATAAAACAACAAGTGCTTCTTTTCTTCTATGCCTATATATTCCTTTATCTTATCTATACTTTAAAGTTTTTTAATTTCTCCAAATGTATAACTACTTGCTTTATTTGTATTATCCGAATTATTTTGGACTGATCTTACTTCTTAGATGGAACACTAAATATTAATAAAACAAAACGAAGTACTAATATTTTTATTATTATTTTTATGTCATTTCTTCTTCATTTTCGAAACGTTTGTTTCGGTTTTTAAATTTAGACTTACAGGTTTTGTTACATCAAGTAAGTCTAAGAGTTTTTATTATTATTAGTGTTTTACTAATACTTGCCATAGTTCATTCTGATACAAAACTTTTACTAGCACAGTCCCTTGCAAGAACATTGCTTCGTTGACAAAAAACGTAATATTTGCACCTACGTGATTATAATATTGAATAAATAAGTAAGGAATCTTCGAGCGTCGTAACTCGCGTCGGGAGCGGGAGGGTTGACTTGGCTAGCGATCGCGCGCTTCTCGCGAAATGAGATTCAATTATCTACTCATTTTTTATTTGGTCGAATCAAAGGAGTATTGATTACACAATCGTCGAGGTGCGTACTGATTGAACGGTCGTTAGAGCGTAATCTCAATTTCACCATGGCATCAATGATTAAAGGCGGTAATTCAATAAGGAGCGGATTGCGAGCGGATAATCGGAAACAAAACAAAAGAGTGCGGGCTCGATTTACGTCATTAGGAGCAGAGGCCGACTCGGTGACACCTCAAAGGTTTTGAGCCTCTTTAACGCGCCTTATAATACTTCGTTTTCGCGTTCGCTTCCGGCGGCATTGTGTTGCTGTCCAAACAGTGGGCGTCCCCCGCCTGCCAGCGCCTCCATCACACCCGATCCATTACTATCTTTGAGTATTTCGAATTGAACGGATGACGTGTTGGTTTGTTTTCCCTATGGCCTGTCATTCCCTTTTATTGGGACAATGCTCCTTTTAGTGATTTATTGGAAAAAAAAATGTGAATAGGAAATGTTTTCGTGCCAGACGCAATGCTTTATTAAAACATTTAGCAATCTATCAAATTTCAGTCGGTCTAATCTGTTTATGCTGCCCCAATTTTCCGTCAACATAAATAACATTAATTTAACTGATTTACCAACATTTATTCTTCTTTTTTCATTTAATCTAAACACCTACTTCATCTACTTTAATTTTATTTTCACGAATTATCTACTTACTATAGTTATAAGAGTAAGCCTACCTATTTATTAGAGCTTTAGAAAAAAAATTAAACATGTTAATCTTGATTTTTTTTTAAGATACTTAACTAAGCGAGTGAATATTCCTGAAGTTAGCTACAGATCATTTGAAAATACCCAACATTCATAATACCATACAATACTTATTTACACTACCGTATAAGTACCTAATAGCAATAATACAATATTATTCCGCTTAAATTGTCACAATTTAAAATTAAAAGCAACTAAGGGGAAAGAATTGTTAGTAATGCGAACTACTATTCCCCATTCCATTGCTAGCGATATAAGCTGCAAGTCGACCTCCACGTGGTCACCCCTGGAAACAATCGTGCTAAATTTAAAATTTCAGATGTATCAGGTAAAAACCAAAATAAAAAACATTCAAGATGAATATTATTAAGTGATTGTGTACTGTATGTTTAAGATACAAAGTAGCTTAAATCCTTCTTCACCCATATACGTTTACTAGATTTTATAGTAAGTGGCGAAACTGTTAAGACGCTAAAACGTAACATACAAACAAATAAGCTCACTTTCACATTTACAATATACAAATGAAGGATTAAAATTTTCAGTTTTTTAAATGTATCTAGTCATCCTTGATTATAAAATATGTACTCATACGAGATAAAACTAGTGTTTACATAAAATAAGTTTTTGATGAATTATTTAACTGAAATTTTCATTAATAATTAAAATTCAATGTGTCATGGCCTATTAATCATTAAACTGAACCGCTTGTTTCTACGCAGTTAAAAAAAAACTAGTTAGTCATTGTCAAACTTCAAATGTCAAGTGTCAGTCAAGATTTAACGTCAAAACTTATTAAAAGTCAAAACACAAAAAAGAAGATAAAAATAACCTATAGAACTATTGTCCCTGCCTTCTTCACAATCAAGTTTTTAAATTTGCAAGTAACAAGAAAACAAAATGTTTACTTCTCTTCTCAGTAAAATCAGTTCAAGAAATCTAACTTGTGGATTTCACACTACCTCTTGTTTAAATGAAGTTCGTTTGTTAACCCGACTGCGAGTGGTAGACAACTCTGAGATTGGAAAGCGAGCGATGGCTGAAGGAAAACCACCGAAAGTTATTTGTGTTTACAATAAACAGCGTAAGTACATTTTAAAAATTAACTTCGATATTAGTCGTAGCCTCAGCCACATGGAACTCGTATCTGCTGATATCAAATTTCAAGAAATCCTTAGAAAATGTGTTATGAAATGTTCATGTTTTTAACCTCATTAATTACTGCACAAGTCTAAGTCTATAGGGTCCCTTCAAGACGAGAGTATGATCACATAGACAACCATTTAACAACATCTGTTATTGAGGGAAGGGATTGTTAGTAATGGAGAGGTAGGGACTACCTATTGCTATCAATATATCCTATCAGGTCGACCTACATGTGAACCTTCTAGAAACTATCGTGACTAATTTATCATTGAATTAGTCATGATGGGCTAACTGGCCTGCCTTTTCATCCTCACTAATCAATTCGCCAATGTATACCTTTAATGCAGGTGAGGTTACTATTTCATTATAATTCATTAAAAAAACATCTGATATAAACTAGAATTATATTTATGAAGCAAAGCAATAAATATAGATAATTCAAAATTCTATTAAAAACTTTTTGAATTTCTCCATAGTGACCATGTTATCCCCACTCAGATCTTATACCAAAGGGTGGATTTAATTTTAAGCAAAACTTAACATTAAAATCGTCAATGTATTTTCATTGTAATTTAGTATTTGGTTAGCAATTGGTAATGATAATTTTTTTTGTTCTACTATGCCAATAAGGAAAGATTTTAAAAATTATTTTAACTACAACTTATGTATCTACAAAAATTTTTTAAACTTATGTTTTTATCTGCAGGTGTTGGTTACATCGGTGACAGAGTGATGGTAGCAATTAAAGGACAGAAGAAGAAGGGCATTTTAGTTGGGTTAAAGCAAACACAAAAAGTAAAAGTACCTAAATTTGACAGTAACAATGTGGTACTAATTGATGATAATGGCACACCACTAGGTACTCGTATACATGTGCCTATCCCCACCATCTTACGTACCATACTCAAAGAAAGAACACATTCTAAAGGTGCTGATTACACCAAATTACTGTCTATAGCAACGAAATTTGTTTAAGCATTAATTATTTTTAAGTAGGTAGTTAATTACAATTGTATATTGATTAAAAACTTGTTTTAATTTAGTGTATTACTTTCCTGTATTATTTCTTCAAATGTAATTCTGTAGTTTTGTTCAGACACATAACTTGTGCTCTTGTTCACCCCAGGGTGTAAATGGAGCTTCACAAAGACTTGTCTGAGTATATATGAAAATTTTTTAAAAGTCAGTCCCCCTCCTAGATAATTATACTAAATATGCATCTTACTTTGATTTCCTTGGATATACTCATCATTCAAATGCAGTTGTACTTTGCTAAAACTTTGCCAGGGTTGATATACACATCCATATATTGCAGTATTATATGTGCATGTAGTTGTGGTTCTGTATATACAATAGTAATTGAAGTGTGTAGTAGTTGTGTTGCGAATAGGTCCTAGAAACCAGACATGAGCTCATGCAAATAAATAATTTTCAAATACTGTGCAATGGTGTACTATAAAATCGTAATATAAACTGAAGACAGGAGCCATGTCTGAAACTCATATAAATTATATCAACATGATCAGTGTCAAATGTAGTGTTCATTACTACATTTAATTGTTTAGGAAAAAATAAAAACAAATTCAATCATTGAAATTTCAAAATTTAATAAAACTTATCAGTTCCACTTTAGAGTAGACTTATAGGACACGCTACCTACTGATGGAGATGAGTAGATGACACAACATCAATTTAATGTATTACATTTCAATCAAATCCTATACAAATATACCTAGTTGACGTTGAGGCGGTAAGGCGCAGCCCTATTGGCGTTACTGAAGTAATTCAAGATTTACAGTTGAGATATAGAACACAAATAACATCTACGACTGGACAAAACAGAATGTCAGTGAAGCCACAGTTGCCAAGTTCAAATGCAAGACATACTACTAGTTAATTTTTCTTCATTATAAAAACATCGTGTGTTTCCAATAGTTCTACTCCATTCATGATGCAATACCACTATAGACAATGTATGTCAACAATAGGTATATGATTAATTACATAAGTATTTAATAATAGTTAATTTAGAATTCCAATTACAAGAAACACTGGGTGGTAATAAATAAATTTATGTTAAGCAAATTCTTAAACCATACCAGTAAAGCTTAAATTCATGCATAGTATCTGTTAGCAAATACTGTAAACTGTTTAGGAATTTACTTATTTTTATTTTTCATACCACTCATTAAGTACTTACTAGTACAACACTCGAACACTTATTTGTTGCATCTTAAAACAAAGTAGGAATACATGATTTAGATACTGTCAGCTTACAAAATACGTATAAAGATGTCGTCTTTTCCCAAGTAAGGCTTTAGAATTGTAATATTGCTATAATTAACATTCAATTAGTTAAAGCTGTGAGCAATAGGTACCCAGACATCTGAATTATTGACAAACAAATACATATTCACAGTATGAACAAGAACGAGTCGAGGCGCGGGGCCCCGCCAGTGTAAAGCATGAACAAGTACGAAACGGGGCCCGGAGCCCTGTTGTAACGTAATGTAATGTTTGCACAACAGCTGTGACTAGACATAATAAAGATTCACGTGCAATCACTACTACCCAAGTCTAACTCGAAACATTAAACAATCCGGTAATCAAACTATCACACGACACAATTTAATAGAATTTATCTTTATTATAATTAATATAAATTAATCTTAAAACTACGACAACTAATCGGAAGAGTTAGTGTCGCTACTTCTATATATTGTTAAATCAGCTTTAAATAAATAACAAAAGCAATATTATTGACATGGCCCGATTCTGAAAACATCATTCTCTAAATCGATAAATCTATTCACTAGTTTTAGAAATGGTCTAACATCATCTCTAAAGTTAATAAAATTTGTAAATAAAAAAATTTAGTAATTTCAAATAAAGTAGTCAAAGACATTAGAGACTAGTTATTCGAACGGTTGGGAGAAAGTGCTGCTATTCGGATGTTGTATAAAAAACTATGTAACGAATTACATCAAACACTATTAACTGAAATGTTTTCATCGAATGTAACACTCAGACTACATTGCACTGGTTAGTGAATTATAATGGATAAATTTAGGGCATGGCATTTAAACAGAATCAGGCCCGCCGTCGCTATCTATGCTCAGTACACTACAGAGGAGCAAGTCAAAACTATCAATTCTAACTCCATTCACTAACTCTTTAGCTTTAGCGAACATTCTTAGTAAGAATAAGAAAAACATTTGCCGCATGTCTGAGGTACTGAGCTCGTTCTTTCCATATTCATCTATACCGAATAGTTTCCGTAAAACCTGCTTCCTTCTTAGTTGATATGATTTTAGATCAAACATTTGTAAAAACAGATATCTAAAAAATAACACCCAATAAATTGCTATATAATATATAATTATTTGTACAACATTAACATAATCTAAAGGTGAGACAAGGTACTTGGACCTCTGTAGTCGAAGGTCACTTGAGCGCGGTGAGGACCTGAGGAGGGAGAGGGAGATCAGAGTAAGGAAATGGATGGATTGGATTCCTTCATTTTTACACACCTATATAATACATGGGTTTGATTAGGATAATTTCATTTTTACACAATATTATTCCAATATTTTTGATTATCTAATCGCAAAATATCAAAAATGTCTTATTATTCCATGTCTGAGTTTAAAAGATAAGGGCGCTACGCGCGTCATAGTTCATGTGCGCAAGAAACGTGCATCGTTTATAATCTATAACATCTTATTTCACTGTTGGTGACAAAATATAGTTTCCAGACAGCCTTCCTTTTTTGCACGATAATTGTCAAGTTCTCTCAGTACCTATTTCCATTATAAGAAATTATAAATTATAACGACATCACAGAAATACTACCTACATAACCAATAAGTGATAGTGAAATATTTAAAAAAATATCCGATTGAATGTAATAGATGAAACGTCGTAAACTAAAGATCACGGAAGTGACAATAGAAAACTAACTACCGACGCTAAACCAACTAGCTACTACGCGATATGACTGACGTATCACATACGCGGCACAACTGTTACCGAACGGCACACGGAACCCTTACCTGAACTACGGACACGTGAACTCGCGCTCAAAACAGATCGTGTAAAAATAAAATACTAAATAACAAACTAAAATTACCGTAACAAAAATAATAAAAATCTTACTGTTGATTTGACTACGATAAAATTTCCACTAATGTTAACTAAATATTACAAATTTATATAGTATACCTTAAGAGTTAAATTGTAAACGAATCACGATAGATTAGCGCGCGCCGACTGCCCCGCGGAACACATCGCCGCGAAATATCGCCCCATATCGCCACAAATGCCCGCATTCGTGTACTAAAGTCACAGCCCTATAGGGTCAGCAATACGTCACTCGACGATATTTTATGGCACAATTTACATTGTATGTAGTGAGCACTAAGAGGCCCTTTCTAATAACAATCGCGACTTGCTAAATTTCGTTGGATTTATTATTTTACTTATGACGTTTTAAAATTTTAAAATGTGTTCCAAAGTTATGTTGAATTTGCGTACGAACAGTTTATAAATAATTTGCAGTGGTCATACAATGACAACTATGATCTTAAATAAAGGTCTTGGGAATTTAGAATTTACGTGTTTTTAAATAATGTCATACATAAAGTAATAATAATAAAAGTTATACAAAATTCAACAAGAGATCGCGACTTGATGACGGCCTCTTCATAACAGTTCTACACTGTATGTCGTGGAGACTAGAATTATTAACAATAACATTCACCAAGTTGACCTTGTATGAACGTAGTTTTCGTCAAGACTAAATAAGTAAACTATGTTTACGTGACATGAATAAATTTACGCAATTTTACCGAGATAAAGGTCATCAAGGATCGAGCATACGACGACGCGAGTAACGTATTGCGTAATGTTTTACCTGAACTGCTTTGTACTCAGTTAAATGTGTATGTACATAGATACAATAGATATTCCGGGTTCCTCCAAAAGCGAAATAAAACTTCGTTTATTTGGAAGACGAATAGAAACTTCCCACGGAGCAAGCGACGCGCAATTTAAATAGTGTTCTAGCTAGAGCAAGAAAGTAGAGGGTCTCGAAGGAAGGTGCTGGTGGAGCGGGGGGCGCGAGGGTCGCCTACACGTCCACCACCATCTTCTTATGTATGTCTGTGTTGCCAACCACATTACAGAACTCCTCAAACGAGATCTTGCCATCCTCGTCCTTGTCTGCAAACAAGATCGTCTTGTCCACAATCTGCTGCAGTTGAGTGTCCTTCAAATTGTTGCCAACCATCATCTTCAGTACCTGAAAATTTAATATAAAAACCATTTACATATGTAACACTGCATCCACACTATGTTGCATGGATCTATTTACACTGAATTGTAATTTTATTTGTATTGAATTATTAAACTTGATGCCCAAAGTACTGAACTAGTATTATATATCTGTACCCAGTCATCTTCCATCATGGCAGTAGTCGCCGTAATAGATAATTCACCACCATACAGTGCTACAAAAGTAGAACAACCACATTAATCATCAGCTACTAACTGCCGATTTAATACTTTCATATCTATATTACATTTATCAATCTTCGTGAATCTCTTGATGTAATTTGTAATATGAATTTAAACTAATTTATTCTATGCTGACTCTATGGATTTTTCGAATATGGAATCTCTATATTTAGACAAACTATCTGAGCTAAATGAATTCGATGTTAATTTTAATTATGATTTTGTTATCACACTCAATTAGTCGCCTTTGATGCCAGTTACTGAGGATGACCTGATTTCAAACCGTAGTTTTCCCAACAGACTACAGCCTAGAGTATTAATAAAAACCATTAAAAAGCACGCAATATCTATTATTGGGATATTACATACGATACGGATTGCCACTTCATTAAAGTAGTAAAAAAAAGTTATCGAATTATAAACAAAACAGACTAATCATTTTAGATTGTTCTACAAAAAAAAATTAATTGTGGCAAAACAAATTATTTAAAAACTAAACTACTGAGCTAATTTTGATAAAATATGATAATCTGTAAGTCTATTAAATTAAACTTATTAAATTACTAAATCGGTTTATAACTGACGGACTTACGAGGTAAAAAACAAACCGAAAACCAAAACTAAACCTCCTTTTTGAAGTTGATTTGCAAATAATCTGCATGGCCATATCTACAAATATAATTAAATATTCTATCCATATATGGCAGTAAGTCCTGAGGCATAACAATTTAGTCTTTAGGAATGCAGGAGTTGGCGGCTCTCCTGATGGTATAAAATTACCAGCGCTCGTGAGCAATACTAAAGGAATAACGGTTATGTCAATGACCTTTTAAGGAAGATTATACTCTTTCTTGAAGGTTCGTCTGGGTCGATTTTAAAACACCATTTCTCTAAAAATATCTTTAAAATTAACATTTCAGTTTAATATCACAGCGAAATCTTTATTCTGAAGACCAATATAAACTAATATTTTTAATTTGTAAATTTAGTTTAAGATGGTTCATAAAACAGTAATTTTGTGAAACTAGATATTAAGAGCTATGGATTTTGTAATAAATTAACAGGTTTAAAGAAAGCCGTTGGCGCCTCAGAATCGACTCTAATATCATGTCTATTCGGAAGCAATGATATCATATTTCATGTAAATAAAGGTTTATGAATATTACCTGAAACAATTCACCGTTTGAGATGAACCCATCGTTGTCCATGTCGTAGATGCGGAACGCGAACCGCAACTTGGACAACTTATCACCTTTGACGCTGAATTGAGACACGCCCTGGATGAACTCTTTGAAGTCCACCTGCATCAATTAATTTAGTTGTTATCGAGAAGTTTTATAAAATAGCACTTAGCATTGACTTAATGTGGGCTTATCAAATATTAGCTGTTACTCGCGGCGTTGCCCGTTTATTTCAGTATATAAAGTATCCTTTAAGTTAGGATATAACCCAACCTTTACCATAATTCATTCCAATCGATTCAACCGTATAAGATGTTTGAGTAACAAACATACAAACACCTTTACAACTTTCACATTTATAATATTAGTAGTATTGAGTTCGTATATGGCAATATTTGTCGCCAATTTATTTCTTTTGTTTCAATTTGCCTTTTTTTAAGAAATTTTTGCGACGTGAGAATAAACATCCAATCTAATTATAGTATTTCAATAAAATATGACTGCCTTATTGAAATATAAAATAATAAATACACTTATTCGAAATTACAAATGATGACTAGAGTACGACATAATATCATATTTGTTATTGACCTAAATAATAATTCTGCCTGTATTAAGTGCGCCATTAAACTCATTTAGTAGAACTAATTTACTCAAACAAGCATGAAACAGTTATATCGAGCGTTATAATCAAGTACATCGTTTATCAAAGCTATCTCGAGGGATTTCTACAGATAATGTCTTATCCCCCTATTCTTGTTGACCATCTCTTTATCCGCGATTTTTTGTCTGTATGAACTTGGATTTTATTGTAAACAGTAAAATATAAAAGTATACATTTTTTTTAGAATTCAAATAGGGCATTCAACTACGCTAATAGTATACAGTAGTGGGACACCAATATAGGTTAAAGCGATGACTGATCTGTCTTCATATTCAGTTGACTCTTTATAACGAATTCAATAGAAATTAACTACAATGGTTTTTAGAAGGAAAAGTATGAAGGGTGATATGATTAGGCATATGATGTACATAAACCATGGGATATAATATATAGTTAAAAATACTTAATCATTTTCAAATCATTATATTTTAATGTAATAACTACCAGTATAACTTACGTGTAATTAGACCTTAGTCATGAACGACTCTGACACAGTAGCTCATGACTAAGGATAACGAATTGATTCCAAAACTAGTCGATTTTTCTCGATCTAATTACACGTAAGTTAAACCGGTAGTTATTACATTAAAATTTTAAAATAATTTTTAATCTTACCTCTCCATTACCATCAGCGTCGAATATATCTATAACGCGTTGAACAAGTGGATTCTGCTGTAACTCTGGTAATGACATAAACTCGTCGATGGACAGAGCGCCGGAATTGTCCAAGTCAAGCTTCCGAAATCGCTTGCCCAGCCGCCGAATCTCATCCGCGTCGACTGTCGGTAGCGGACACAGAAAATTAGTGTTACTTGAGAGGTTCCACTCGTACGCGAGTTAGTGACCCACGAGAGCAAACGATACAAGAGCCGTCCATTGCAACATTCTTTATGTAAATATCAGAAAGAATCGCGTCAAATCAATAGACTGCTCCATGCAATTTAATCTCGAGTGAACGAAGCCTACCATTAAACGCTTAACGCATACATACAATTGCTCCAATAAAGTATATCTACCGAACATCTAGTCCAGTCTACAAGCCCATTATAGAATTAAAAATTTACAGGTAAGATATATAAGACGATGCTGATATTTTCAATCTTCATCATCTGTAAATCAATATAATTATCGCAAATAACTATACAATTATAATTGTTTGAATAATTATTTATCTTTACTGCACAAACTGACGGCATATTGGCTAAAATTATTGTTTCACAAAACATCATTTATGATGACGTTGGCGGTACCTAAACAAAACCCAAAAAGCCTGGGAGAAAAGGGACTGTTAATAATAGAGATTAACACCCTTATTACTAGCAATATATCCTATCAGGTCGACCTCCTCGCGGTTTGCCCTGGAAACCATCGTGGCTGGTCCATTGGTGAATTTGTCACGATGGGCTAACTGACCTGTTTCATCTTCAGTTATTACCCCTCACTAGTTCTTCGCCAGTGTATACCGATAGCGCAGGTGGAGTTACCATTCCATTATCATCCATAAAAAAAAAAAAAACGAAAAGCCTAGTAAGGCAGCCTATAAAAAGTATTTATTTGAGTTTTGTAAAAAAATTACACGAAAAGCACACGAAAATTTAAACATGGTTTGCGTGATACAATTAACATAAAATTAACAATGCACGAGTATTACAATTATACACAAATACACTTTTATTCTTCCAAGTGTTTTTGTGAATAATATCAATATGAGTACTATATAACTGGACTACGGAAATAATGAACTCACTGTGTAGTTTATGAATAACACGTTTTAGATTTAGGAAAATTCAGGGAGTACTCGACGACAGCAAAGCTCATGTAAGCGAATCATGGGTATAGCAGAAGAAGTATTAAGATAAATGCTGTAGAGATGAGAACTCTAAGAAGTGTAAACTGAAAGACGATGTAGTGATAAAAATCAAAAAGAAAATGTTGCTTTGGTTTGGCTATTTGGAGAGGATGGATGAAAGAAGAGTTACGAAAGAGACTTATCGAGCAACAATAAAGATGTCGATAGGAACCGCCCTAGATGGATATGTGTCGACCAAATAGGCGATGTGCTGAAGAAGGGCCAAACTAAAAGTAGCCGTAACTGGCGAGCGTGTATGAAACCTAATATTAATACATATTTAAATCTTTAATTTTATAAAGATAGATGAATGCGGAGGAAGCGAAAGAGGCTTGATAGAATTGAAGCATTTGGGGTTCAATTATTTCTGCCTATCTTAATGGGAGACGGACGTGAAACATGTGTATGTATATATGTATAGTATAAATTTAATATTGTGTTCAAAATTGCAATAAGTGTAAAAAATAATTAGTATTAACATAAGAAAATTAGACTTTGTGTCTCTTATGAAGGTACCGCCACTGGATTTTGGGTCACTTGATTTAACCCTTTCAACATTTTCGATGGGTTTGTAGACTATTATTGAACGGTTCTAAAATTAGTTATCGTTCAGATTCGCTTGAATATATGTCGCAAGTGTATGCTTGCGTCTTGTCTACTAGCTCTAATTTGAACTACGTGTACATTGAATTCTGGTATTCTGTACCAATATCTGGATGATCTCGCAATTCCTACCTGTACCTACATATTTTTAATCAACAATTAGCTACCTAGCAATTGTTTATTTATAGGCACATAGATATAGAAAAAATATATATTCAAACCACTAATTATCTTGCATTTCAAATACACATTAAAAAAAAAAAGAAGCTTCTCAAATTACTGACTTTTAGAAAAGGGCTAAGTCCCTAGACAGATTTATTATAGCTCTACTATTCACTGTCTATACATATAACGACCAGACTATTGTTTAAATTTAGATATACAAGAAAGACAAAAATGAGTATTTTTTTAAACAAATGTTTGCGTTGACATTTCTATTTTAAAACTCAATACCTAATTCATAATCTATTTACAACAGCTATCTATTTATTTCTTGTTCTGATAAATTGTTCTAAATAACTATAAATCACATCAAAACACACATCGCAGCAACATAGGTACGTAGGTACCGTCTACAACGAGTAACAGAATGAAATAAACATCGACATTAATTTTAATATCATGACACTTTAAAATGACTAAGTATCCTACCTAGAATGGTATGTTCAAATAGAAAACAGTTTACTGCTATTGCATACGTAACAAATAGCAATGCAATTATATAGGTAAACTTCTATATTTAAAATATTTATGACTGTCATGAATTTGTCTGTCTCCATTCCAGTAGCAGTACTAGGTAGGAACGCGAACTTGTTTATATGGTAGCAATTTTTAAATTGTACGATATAGTCATAATATAAAAATACTGTGAATAATCTTCCGTAAAAACACCCATTCGGTCATACCATGGTAGGTATTAGGCCACGCGGTCATAGTGGATATTTTTATACGCAAGTAGGAAAACATTAAGGAAATCCCTTTTGATGTTTACCTACACGTAAAAACGCCTACAATGGTCGCGCAGCCTATCAGAAGAAGCAACATTTTACTTAAATTTCCTAAGAGTAGCAAAAGCAACAGCTACCTATTTGATTTAATAACAAACGCGTGCACCAACCACCCTTAGGTCCTCACGGATGTTATCATCAGTTTTGTTCTGTATAAAGCTGGCGATTACTTATCAAGTGGCTCAGATATACTAGTCCAACGCACACTTGTTAGGGCTGTAGGCGGGACATTTATAATAACAAAACACTAAAAACCCAGAGCGGAATGTTTGTTTAGTTACAATTTGTATTTTTGAAACAGTTTATGTGAAAAATTATTAAAAAATAAACAATGTACAAGTAAGTTAAATAAAAATTACAACCAGGTCTGGGTTTTCTGCAGAGCTACGAGATAGGTTGGCAAATTTGAAAAAGTATAATAAATAATTATTCCCATATATTCCTCTAATATTGGCAAAAAATTCCAAAATTATTTTCTAGGGCACACTGTTCATTACAAAGGTCAATATGAAGGCACTTAAGTTAGATGTACCTATTACTATTTCAACATATAAACCTCATGATGAACTGTAGCCAACCTTTCTCATTTGCATAGATTCCTCGCACCTGAGTGACAGCATATTAGCATTCTATAATTAAACATTCATAGCAATTCTAATGTTTCCACTAAAGGCTGAAATGTGACAGGATGCACTATTCAAACAAAATGTCTTTCATAATACAACTATGTTTATCCAGAACAATTTTTGTCAATTTACTCTGACGTGTCAGGGTGGAGGAATTATGCGCAGACTGACCAAATTTACATTATTTAATTACCAAAATTTTTCTACATCATTAGATGTGTGGAAAAATACAAGAAAGTACAGATTAAGAGATAAAAGCTCAACAAAAGGGTAATTTAAATATTTGTAAGAATATATAATACATAATAAGATGTAGACATATTTAATATATACCTCTTCAAAGACTGCACATTAAGAAAAATTTAATAGAATAATTTTGTTATTTTTGTTCAGTAACATAGGTATCATACCATATTTACTGATAGATATTATCAATTGTAGCTAGTAAATACCTAATACATTATCAAATTGATGAAACAAGAAAAATTGTTCTGGACTCTAACAGTGTACGTGCGGCAGCTAACATATAGATGAACATCAGAGGCGGGCGAGTGACACTACGACACTCACAGTTCTCCACCTTAAAATCAATGCAGTTTACACGCGCTGAAAACAAACCTCTTGTTATGCTTTATATGCACACCCTATTGTTTCAATGATGACAATTATACTCAAACTATGCTGCACAAAGTGGCAGTCCTTGCTGTCGCCATCCCCACTGTCCAGTGAAGGAGGTAGTTTGAAAGTTAGCCATACAACATAGAATTAGGAAGCATGTTGTCATAAATATAAAGATTAACTAATTCAAATATCATATTAATAAATATATTAATATGAAATATACACTTTAATTCATTTAATACAGCATTTAGTTAATAAGCTAGGTATAATACTTATATGTAGGAGTATAGTTAAGGCAAGTAGATACGAAGCAACCAGAATCTTTTAAAGTTAGTAATAAAGAAAAGACAGAATTATAGAAAACAATTATTATTATACTCACAATTTGAACAGAGTTCCATGGGAATAGAGTTTTCGTTACCCTGTAAAAATATTTTATTCTTAATGCTTACAAAAACAGGATAAATTGAGATCTGCCAAAGGTACCAGATTTTTATTTCGAAATTAGGTGGAGAATTACATACTGTCAAGGAAGCTAGAAGCTGCCCCAATTTATAAATATTATAGTTATTTATATAGTATGATATAAATTAACAAAACTGAAATAAACCTAAACTTTTTTCACAACCGGGATACAACAAACAACGATATTGTAAATGCGACAAGCGATCAATTATGGACGCTCATCACATTAACTCGATCTTGAGCATAAAAAAAATATGCATACCATTTTGTCTTTTTATTAGTGTTCTTGATTTATTTAAATTATAAAGACGAAGATAAATCTAGGCAACGTGAAATCCTAGTTCTTCAAACGCAAAAAGATTAATCACACACAAGACACCTCCATTGATCTAAATAAAAAAATTACAGATCATAGAGACAAAAAAATCGCATGCGACAGAGTAATAAAGCAAAATTTGCATTAAGTAGTGACATTCCGAACCCAAAGACAAAGAATAAGTGCTATGCAGTTAAAAATTATGTAGTTAGTTATCTACGTATAAATTAAGAATATAAAGATTATCTGAGATCACACCCAATCCCATCAATCACAGTTAATGTCAAATCAGCAATCAATCTGTGTCGACAAAGTATTCTCGATCGGTAATGAGCAGAGACCTTTCACTTTCGATTTGAGAAAAGATATCTAATATTCACAGACATATAATAATGAAGCACGTAAACTTCATTATTCTCTGTACTACTATTAAATGAACAATAAAAATTAACTTTAAATCTAAATAATAGGCCTGCGTCAATATAAAGACAAGTATGTATAAAACTATGTTACCGCCCTGAGTCAATATTAAAAACTTTGTCTGTCACTCATAACGTATTATGGCCCTCTTAATTAGCAATAGAATATTTCAAAAACAGCACTTCACTTTTTGTAAGTATAAAAATAAATAATATGTGTTTTGATAAAACATAATAATAAACAAAAATATAAGTAAATTTGAATGAATTTTAACATAAAGGAATGAAAAACCGAATTAAGTATAAATGAGGTTAAAGTGTATTGATTAATTAATTAACTTACTTGTTTATATAGTAGTGGAGTCGAATTTTCATGGTATATTACGAATTTTGATGAATTCTATAAAAACATATTAGTTTATTTTATTCTATTATTGGTTCAAAAAGATCATATATTTTATTTTCCAGATTACGTAGATATAAAGACATTGCTAACTTTTATAATGTAGTGATTATTTATTGTGATTAGAATTAACAGAATATTAAAAATAGTAGAAAAGTTAAATTGATATAAATTTCACGTGTCACTTTATAAATAAAAAATGTAACCAGTTCATTGTATTTGAAATTTTACACTATAAAGCTATATCTTTTAGACTATCTAAACGGCAATATTTTTGATAAGTCGTGATATCGGCATTACAAATAATTGTACAATACGACATGTGACATGAATATGAATTTTATATGTATATATTATTTAATCAATACTATAAAGTGATTACATAGATTTATTTTTGTTTCAATATTAGGGTATTGCGGGGCAGTGTAGACTCTTAATAACGATTGAATGATTATGAGATATGTATTATCGTCTATTTAGTTTGTGGATTATGAATTATTATAGCTGATTAAAATATCATTGTATTACTTATCTATTTCTCTTTGCTATTCTGAGACTAATATTTTAATTTCCGTCATTATCTCTTTGACAAAATTATTATTATTTGTAATGGTGTTACAAAACTACAGGGTATTTTAATACGTACCTGTGAATGAAAATGTAGTAAATAAAAAGTGCTTAGGAAATACAAGAAAATAATGTTTATTTTGAATGTTATTATGATTACAAATAGAACATAACTGCAACTTTTTTACATTTTTATTTGGATCTGCAATATGGATTTCAGTTCTTGTAACCCTCGGACTTCTAATTCATTAAATTTAGCTGCAAGAAATAATGATGTAGAAGCAGTCAGATGCTTACTTAAAAAAATTAATCCAAATTGTACAGACAATAGAGGATGGACCTGTCTCCATGAAGCAGCAAATATGGACAGTTATGATTGTTTGTTATTAATTTTACAACATCCTGACTGTAGACCACTTGCAGAGACACACGAAGGATATACTGCATTATATCTGGCTTGTCGGCAACAATGCTCTCTTTTGACTATTAAAGCTCTCCTTGATAGTGCAGATTATATGGTCAACTATGGAAGCACTGAAGATGTTACACCATTACACATAGCTAGTGGTCAGGGTAGAGTGGAGTTAATTCAGTTACTATTAGAATATGGTGCAATTATTAATGTTCAAGATTTTGATGGTGATACTCCTTTACATGATGCTGCATTGGCAGCTCAACATGAAGCTGTTACATTATTGTTACATGCAGGTGCAGATCCTGAGATAAAAAATGGACCGAGCCTTTTGACTGCATTCCATTTAGCTTGCTGTAAAGGTTCTTATGAAACTGTCCAAAATATTTTCCCTTTCATCACTGACATAAATGAGCTGGCTGCAGGTGGGGAAAGTCCCTTGATGTCAGCTGTAAAAGGTTGTAATGATGATGTCATACACTTTTTATTACAACATGGAGCTGATCCTCATATACGGAATGTGTATAATCAATCAGCTTTAGATATGGCTCTAAATTTTGGCCACATATCAATATTCAAGATGCTTTTGGGGGTCACAGACAAACAACAAATAAATCCAAATATAATTCTTGACGCTTGCAAACCTCACTATTTTAAGTTTGAAATAATTGAAGCTTTATTATACTATGATTTGGGGCCAGATTTCTTTGATTTTATTGAGCCTTTTCATGTAACTTTGGAAGAGATTGGTGAACATAAACCATTTTATCTTACTAATGCCCCTCTGAACTCCTACTTAAACATCTGTGAATACATTTATAACCAATCACCAGATAAGTTCAGAGAGTTTTTTTATTTATTCCTCATGAGAGGTGTGAGTGTTAATGCATTTGATATTACTGAGTGCCCACCATTGGTCTATATACATTATTGTTTACACTCTGCATGTTTTGTTGAAGTAAGTATATGTTGTTAGTAAAACTGATTTGAAAAAAGAAAATTTGGTTATGCTGAATAGATATTAACTGTTATTTAGCAGCCTTAATAGCAGTTTGTTAAAACTAGTAGTACAATATTACAATGTGAAGAAATCATGCTGCATTAAATCATTGGATTTGAAAAAAAATTGGCACATAGGTTATTGTAACTTAACACTTTGTATACTGCTACAGGAAAAAAAAAACTAGTAGATAATAAAGTCATGGTGGGTGTAATGACTTATCATTGTGTATGTTTTTGATGACTTAGCATTTTCCTATTTTTATATATATTTGTCAAAATTTGATAATTAGTAATCAATAATTTATTAGATAAATAGTTGATTTTTATAATTGCTTGTATGTTAGGTGTACTTTTTATTTAAAAAATGTTTCAGGTTTTTAAAATACTCATAGAGAATGGTCTGAATGTAGACTACTGTACTTCAACTTCAGTTTTGGCTAAGGATCTTTGTGTGCCTGATGCTTTTCTAGCATCTCTCAGTTCAGATCTTGATACTGCTCCATACATGATACCATATAGTCTTACTATAGATCCTGAAACCTTCTTAAGATTTGCTTGTGAAAATGGAGTAGCTGGCAGAATATCTTTACAAGTAAGTTAATAACATATAATAAAAAATAATAAGTGAGTAATCACCTAGTATTTGAAAATTTTTAGTTCTCAAAAAACAATATAATCATGATTTATTTCTTTTTAATAGTCTAAATATCAAGTTACCCATTTTTATCTTAAAAATGTTGAAATTCCTATACTCAAGGACTATTTTCCCAATTAATCTGTCTTTTAGTTATAAATTTTATTTTCTAAAAATAATGCTTTAAGACAAGAATAAAATAATTTATTTTACATTCTTATTCATACTTATCTTTATAATTAAGATGGTAAAAAGTATTTATCATTTGGGTAGGTGCCTAATTGAAATCTTAATTAAGCCATTGTTGCCAGTGATAAATAGAATTTTGTAACTCTGATTTCCAAGTTTATCAGCTTTATCTTGATGAATCACATCACCTAAGCACATCTTTACAAAATAGTATAAACAAATTTAGATTATAAGATTTTTCTTATACCACTGAGGTGGCAAGCAAGCATACGGCCCACCTGATGGTAAATGGTTACCATAGCCTAAGAACACCTTTAATACCAGAGGTATTACGCGTGCGCGAATCTGAAGAATCCTTTTTACCCCCCTTTAGAAGCACTCCATGCTGTAGTCTCTTGTGAAAACCTCAGCAGGGACCTCATTCCACAACCTGAGTGTGTTGTGAAAGGAAACATCTCTGAAACCGCGCAGTACGCGACCATAGAGGCTGTAGGACATGAGGATGAACACTCTGTCGATGGCGAGCCATAAGATGGTAGAAAGTGGCTGTGGGCATCATATTGAACAATTCCTCTGAGCACAATCCATTGTACTCAGATCATGTTTATATATAATTTGTAACTCGACTTAAGTTACCTAATCATATAAAGATCTTTCTAATTGCATTATATCATCTATGGCTCTATCTGGCTTTTTGATTATCATATGCAATTGTTTTCTACTTTTCATATGATTTCATGATATTTATATATTAAACTTTACATCATTTTCAGGCACAAAAAAAGCTTGTGTCTTTGATAGATGACAACAATGAAATAGTTTGTATGGAATATCTACCATATATAGTGCCATCATTAAGACATTTGTGTAGACTGAGAATACGAAGTGTATTCAGAAATAGGGGAGACATAAAGTCTACTAGTGAATTTCATTATAAACTCAATCATCTACCTATACCTCAAGCACTCAAGAATTATTTAAGTTACCTGTGAATACTGCTGTGTTGTATACATAAGTACAAGACACAAGTTAAAAGATATTAGATTTTATTATTTTTTATTTACAATTATTTATCACAATGCATTGCATATTGCACATGTTTTTGCTCAATTACATATAAATGTATAAAATGTTATACAGAGTTATTATTTTGTACATTACATTATTGACATTAAATATGAAATATTATCAATCACTTCCTTGCTATGTTGCTGGAGTGTTGCTATAGGATAAGCATATTATTTCGTAAATTGTTGACTTTTTAGGTAGAGTTAAACCTGTACAAAATTTCCACTCAATAACTTCTTTTGAAGGGTTCTTTTGTTACTTCAACTTATATATATATATAGTATTACTTGTTTTAATTACATGATTTATTTATTAATGTCTTAATAATTATTTGAAATTAGCCCCATTAGCCATGAAGTCTTCAATCTCAGCAACACTAAAAAAAAATAAGAGTGTTAAATGACTAAAAAAATATTTATTTTAAATTAAATACAATTTATTCATATTTTAGAGTGAAATTAGATATTTTTTTAATTGTTTTATACCACTGGCATGGAATGGCAAACAAGCTGACGACCTATGTGATAGAAAGTAGTAACCGTCGCCTATAGACATGAACAGTACCATGGACATAACAGAGTATACAAAAAAATACAATTATAAATTATGTGCAAATATTTGCGCCACCTTTTTTTTTTTTTTAATGTAAAACTTCAACAATTTTTTTATGCTAACTGTTCGAAAATCACATTTTTTATTTTATTTCTTCCAAAAAATAACAGCATATCGATCGTCGTCTATAAATATGATGCTTGTGGAATCCTTCATATGTTGCCATTCCCAAAGACTAAGAAGTCATGCTTGGGCACCTTGTAATTTCACTTGATGATATCATATTCAACCTTTTAAATCAATGCATATAATTAAAATAATAGTCATTGTTTCTACAAACTCACGTTCTTGGCACGAATGTGAAGTTCTCTATACCATCATCTGTAACAAGTACATCATCCTCGATACGTACTCCGCCGAATCCTCGGAATCGTTCTACCACTTCCCAGTTGAAGAAGTGCGATTGCGCTGGGTTGTTTTTAGCAGCGTCTAACAACTGTCATGGAAATATTACAAAATTATTGTAGATATATATTGTTTAAAATTACATCCATTATTATAGGAAATCAATATGACATTTAAATAGACTTTTATAAAGTGATCCAATACATCATATAAAAAAAGCCTTAACAATAACATGTTGCACTAGACTAGAATATTAATAAAATAATATAGGATTGCGGATGGAATCTGCCCGAATGTTCCATTCACAATGGCAAGAATAGAGTATGAAATGATAAGAATGCCATGACAAATTCAAGAAGAATTAACCACGAGGATACTGGAAAGATTGCGTGTCGACCTCACAAGTTACAATCCCTTCCTTCTCTCTGAGATCTGTTGTATGTATGTGTCGAACGTACTCTGGGTATAAAGTAGCATCCAGGCTCGACTGTGAGGAGCATGCGTGCCTGCAGGCGACGAGCGGTTCGCAGACGTGACAGGGGCGGCGCGGGGGGACGCGGGGGACAGCCGGGCAAATATCCTCCTACGTCGTGCACGTCCAGACCTATCAAGTGGCCAAGACCGTGCGGCTGTAGGATGGCGTTCACGCCGTTCTGCGAACGAAAATTATACGGACAATTGTAGTAATAAGTAAACCATATTTATATCTTATTTTAATACTTCGTTTGCGCGATCAAATACTATATGTATATGAAATTCCATAATTATCGCTTCTCTATTGTAAGCGTTTATGCATTACGATGGCAATTTACCTTTAAGCAGAACATATGTGCCATTGTTACCCTAATTATATAAAAAAATATAAATCACCTTGATCATATCTTCAACATCTCCTTTTAATAAACCACCTTTTTTCAAATGTTCCAGCATTACTCGATTGGCTAATAGGTGCATATCCTCCCACATCACTCCAGGTTTTCCTTCTCTAAAATAATAAGAGCAATTATTATTTTTTTATGACATAAAAGCAAGCGAGCATAAAGCTTATCTGATGGTAAGTGATTACACCCCCGACCATAGGCATCTGCAACGTCGGAGGAAAAAAAAAACAACAAAAAGTATGCTGCCAGCTTTTTAAGATGGAATATACTCTTTTCTTAAAGGTTTCAATGTTATATCTATTCGGAAATGCTGCTGGGAGTCGGTTCATACTGTGGTTGTGCGTGAAAGAAAATATCTACAGAAATGAATGGTGGAGGATCGCCATTTATCCAACTTTAGCGTGTAACATCACCGTATGGCGATGAAAATTATCAGTAGGCATTAATTTAAATAATTTCTCTGAACATTCCCATGACATTTATATATGGGACAAAAGACGCAAAGACACGCAACGTCTCTACGCAATGCTAGGGAATCGAGTTATTTCTAAATTAAAGTAAAATACTAGTAATGCAGACCTTAAGTGCGTGTTGGAGAATAAAGATATTACATTAAAGACATTCAATTATTATTTATTATTATTGCAAATATTGTAAAGAACCCCCAATAGAAAAATCATATTCAGAAATAGCAATGCATGAGGGGCACTATGAGCATCCCAGCGTATTCTGTAATGTCTATGGTTCTGTTCACGCCTATAAACATTGGTAACCATTTTTCGTTAGGTGGGCTTGTTTGCCATTCAAAGTTGTTTAAAAAATAAATAAATTAACATTTACCCCTTATTTATAAAAACGTTAAACCTATTTTAGCTATTAAAGTCTTTGTTTTTTGCGCAAAATTCGCAATCTGAAAGACGGTGACAAAATACTCTAATATGTTTTGTAAGCCGTTTTAGTTTTTAGGATTAATATTTTTATGGTTAGTTCATGTGCGCAATAATAAATTTATAAAATTATTAATTAATTCTTTTTTAGTATGGGAATTTGTTCTGCAGTGGACAATAAATGACAAAGAATGATAGAATGTAGGTACCTTATAACAGCATCTCTTGCAAACAATACCGCCTCGTAGATTAGTTTCTGGTCAGGCGTAAATTTGCCGTTGGCTGGAAATGAGCACGTAATATCGGCTGCATAGCCCGCGTAGTTGCCCCCCATGTCGAATAGGCTGTTACGCAATTTATTTTAAATTAATTTTAAAGTTTCTATAAATCGTAAAATTCATATGAAATATGGAAGTCGTTTCTGAGGCATCATTTCTCTAAATTAATCACTAAAATTTAAACATATCACAGTGAAATCTTTATTCAATATATATAATCTATATATATAGTATGGATTTAATTTCTAATAGGTTTCAGTAAAAACTACTATTAAAATTATGACAGTCGATAAAATAGAACGTTCGAAAACATTGAACGATTGAAAACATTAAATTATAAGATATTTAAGAGAAATGTCGCCTCAGAATCGACCCCATTATTTTGAAATTCATTTGGGAGAATTAGTAAAGGGAAAATATATCTGAAAAAAATATAATAATCCCACATAATTAAATCTTAAAAAATCAACTATTCATATGGGATATACATAGTTGAACGACTGATTTCTTTTATGCCATGAAAATGGCAACGGCCTTCGAAAACTATCAGGGACAAACGTCTGTTGGGTCGGCTATAGCTAAAGAATAAAAAAATAAAATAATAGTATTACCACATGTCGCCGTCGCGTATAAGTTTACTGTTGGGTGCGGCCGCATGGCCGTAATGTAGAGTGGCGGCGTTGTGGCCCGAACCGCAGATGCAAGTGTACGACACATGCCGGCATCCGCCCACGCGGTAGCAGTGGTCCAGGAATATCGACTCGCACTGGTACTCCATCAAACCAGGCTTTGTGTACAGCATCACCTGTGTAGTATGGGATATAAGAATTTTGTAAGTATTGTAAGATAGACGGTACTGTCAGTCACTGAGTAAAAAAAAAAAGACAAAATTTAACTGAGAAAACGATACTGGGGGCCTATCATGAAATGAATTTCCGAATTTTCGGGTTCAATTTTGTGTTTTTGTTCATACCTAAATCGACCCAGTAAATGGAGCTTAACGTTTCATTCATCATAAATCCTATCCTAACAATCAAGAGGGACGATATTTTAATATTTTTAATAATTTTAAATGGCATGTATTATTTAATTTTCACATCAAATTTCTATTTCGTTCGTCCCCGAAATTTCGGAAAATATTTCATGGTAGGCCCTCTGTATATCTTAGTTATATTAAAAGATTAAGGGTTTGGTGTTTCAATATTTTTTCTACATACAATCGTTGTGCTTGTATGTAGTTGTGTTGGGAATTTCCTGCTTCACCCTCGCTCGCACCATCTTTGCGGGCTCTGCGAGCTACAGCCTGCAATGTGAGGCGAAACGTTGTGCCGCAAAGCGCCTCAAGACTTTCGAGTGAAGTCGTAACAAATGTTGGAAATGACAAACGACGACATAATAAAATTCCTATTGTGTATGTATGTAGACAAAAATGAACATAAGTTTAAAAATAATATCACCTGTTTATGTGCATCAGAAGACACTTTGCATACATAACGCATAACTTCAATTTCTGCTGGTGTCTTGATAACCCGACTGTAAATAATACAGATAAATTAATGAGTTTTTTTTTTTTTAATATGGATAGCATATATAAACATATAAAAAAAATCTGTTGCGTCTACTTGATCGTCCAACAAAATTAATGAAATAATTAATTTGATGAATTCAAAATTATTTTGAGAAAATATTACATACTTATTTCTTTTATTGTGAAATTCTAATTCTATATTAGTCCGTTTTATAGATCTCTCGTTAGGATAAGATTTATAATACTATATCTATTGATTCCCTACTGGCAGAGTGAATTAAGGACGCCAAAAGGATTAATAAATGTAGAATTTATAAAAGTATATAACACTTTAAATATAAATCGGCCATTGGTAACACTTATCTGACGATCAGTGTGTTGGTTTTGTCTTATTATAATGATATTAGATATATCGATATAAAACTGTAATGTACCAGTTATTATCATCTACTTGAGATAAGATTTACCTGAACTATACCCAGATTATTTAAATAAGCAAAATATATTTTAATGTTATAATATTGCACAGATTTGTATAAAAATTCCATTATGTTTATAATATTTGTGATTATTATCAATACTTACAGTTCCGCTATAATTGGGAATAATATTTCATTATCCACTTTGAATCTGGAAACAGAAATTAATAATAGCTAACTATTTTGAATAGCTCACTTATGTGGGCAGCAATATAGATATCAGAATTTGTTTAAATTTACAAAGTCATTTGTAATAAATAATAAAACTCAAAATTATTTTACAATATATGTACTTGACACTTGAATTAATTATATGTGTAATAGTTATTCTGTTTATATATATATATATATATATATATATATATATATATATATATATATATATATATATATATATATATATATATATACATATATATACCATATACCACGTTACCACTTTCCATCAGGTAGACCGTCAGCTTGTTTGCCATTCTAAGTTGTATAAAAAAAATATTTTTTTCTTTATAACCTGATATAATATCTATTTTAAATGTGAATACACAATAAAGCTTATAAAGACAAACAAACTATACACAAATAAGCTTGTTAGCGTGTTGTGTTTCAATTTGAAAAATGAAATATGCCATTAATATAATAATAAAGATTATATAATACTGCACATAAAAATATAGTCATGGGCTACAGTAATTTCAAAGTTAAATATATAAGCATAAAATGTAACATTATGCCTAGCACATTAGTATCTAAACTAGGCCAAGCCTGTATATTAGACAATAATACTACTACATACTTGTACTCAGGATTGCATCCTATGATATCAATAGTTTTTAGGCCTTTTTCTTTTTTTTTTACTTTTATACGACTTAGAATAGCAAACAAGCTGACAACCCACCTGATGGAAAGTGGTAACCGTCGCCTGTAACTCGAGATTTTCATATAATAAGGGCAATACATAAGTGATAGCTCTGGTGTGGCAAGTTTAATTTTGGACAGACCTGTATATATGAGAGCCACTTTTGCTAAATATGATAAAAAAATAGTTTAAGTACTAACACATTATTATACTTACTCATCAATTCCTTCAAAAACTGCTTCTTTAGCTGTCAATCCACTATCTGTGTTTGGTCCACTCTAAAAATTATACATATTGTAAAAAATAAAATTTTAAATTATCTAATTAAATATTTTATTCTATAAAAACCGTGAATAATTTAATGAATATTAACGTTAATTTAGGTACCCTTTTGATACGCAATAAAAATCGGCTTTCCTGTTGACTGGCTCTGCAGTCTGTGTGAACAGACACAAAGCTAGTAAGGACTGATTCATTATAAATTAAATATATTTAATAAATAAATAAATATACTTACTAGTGTCAACAATAATTCTGTATTCAAACTTTTGAGCACATCCCTCAACTGCAAATAATAAGAAATTATTATTTATGTATGTTATATATTATATTAAAAATTAATACGCTCGAAGATAAATACTCGATGACTCACGAGCCATAAATCAACTGGCTATTGTAGTGCCTTCATATGCCCACATTTAACCAAGCTTAACATACCAAATAAAGTATAACTTGGCACGTTATAAGGCATTTGCCAGAAATTTAATCCAGAAAATTAATCGTAATGTAAATTGACATAAAGTTATTAATGTCGGCCAGATTTAAACTCAAGATTAAAAGATTTGCTCTCTGTAAGTCAATATATATATAATATGTCTATGATTGAACATTTTAATTAATTATATAATTTTTCTTTTATTTTTATGACTTAAATTTGACATTTTGTTAATTAATTAATATTAACATTTATAAATTGTTGATTTTGCAATTTAATTTTGTAGATTAAAATTAAAATTGTTTACATATTGATGCTTGACACTGCCTATAGTGTGTTGGAGTTCCAACATCTTCTGTAATGTATAGGTATTATTGTAAAGTAATAAATTCTAAGTTATCTGCGATACTAGCCTAGAGCTTAGTGCAGGAGTCGCTGTAAAAGTGTGTTACTTTATCCAAGTATGTAGAATGAATAAAATAATTAAATAAATAGCAAACTTATTCTTATTATTTTTGGTCATAGACTCTCTGTGAATCACATAAGAGACAGCATGAAGATAGTTATATAAAAAGCTGTGTATACCTCGTCTACATAATGAACTTCATCAACAGCATATAATTTTTTGAACTCATCACATGTCAACAGTTTCCCCATCCAGACTTCATATTCTTCAGGCAATCGAGGCACAAACAGATGTCCTTTTCCTGTGTTTGCATCCAGAGCAAAGTAACATCCTGGTTCACGCACTCCACATATCCAGGTGAAATATGCTTCCTAGTCATAATATTCATTTTGTTCAGTATTTGATTGACAATATAAGAAGATATTATTATAAAAAATGTATACTAATAAGTTAAAAGCAACAAAATTTTAGGGCACATTTATCAAGATACAATAATAGATTCCACTCTTTGGTATATATAGAAATTTTTAACTGAAATAGGTGTTATTTTGCATAAGTCTATATCACTGGTTATTAGATTAGAATTGTTTTGTTCTTATGGTAGCAGAATTAAACAAAATAATTTTACTCATATAACCAGTTATATGAAAATTGTTGTAGGGCATGGAAAAAAATTTGCAGGTATGCATATGTTTATAACCAAATCAAAAATTTATTAAATGGTATAAGTAGACAGAGAATAAGAGTACATAGTAGTAAATAATCATGCCCCAATTTCTATATTTAAAAGTTTTCTTAGATATTTCTATTTTGAGAAATCTATTTAGTGGAAAGTATTAAAAATCACCACAAAATTCACTATTATTGTGTAATGTAAGATAAAAAAAAAACAATAATCTTATATGATTAGAGATCATACAAGAATATTGTATATCTAAAACATACATATAAAGACCATTTTATTGCTGTATTGTTAGTAAGCAATTAAGGTCATTAATTAATATTTACTGCTTTAATATTTTAAATGTTAATTATCATATTAATATAAGAAAATTGTAACTAAACAATGTGTGAGCAATAGAAGCTAAAATAATAATTTTTAGAAATTTCATCTGTCAGTAAGTTTGTTTTGACATCATGCAATTTACTATAGGGAGACTTTGTAAAAAAGTTGTTTGCTTGGGCACCTATTCCATTTGTATTTCTACCGTAAAGCAGTTCAGTTTGCATGGATGTGTTTCAGTTTGAAGGGTGGGATATGGCAGTGAATTGACAGGGTATAGAGGAATAACACCTGAGTCCTCAGGAATGGCAATACATGGGCAAAACAGTATACTCTTATGTCCATGGTACTGCTCATGTCTATTGGCCACTGTTACCACTTTCCATCAGGTGGGCCATCAGCTTCTTTGCCATTCTAAGTTGCATAAAAAAATACAAAAACAATTACATCAAATTACATTTGGTTTCCATATTTGTCATTCTGATGATCAAACTTAAAAACTGGTATGTTTTATTTTTATACATCACCCAGAAGATTTTACGAATTTTGAAATCTATACATATCATTGTAATGGACAAAAACCTAGTTATTAATATATTTTGTTAGCATGTTTATATAAACAGCTAATAAATTAGTCAACAGTTTAAGAAGAACTAATACATGACCTTATGAACAGCCACTCAATGCATAGGAATAACTATTTAACAACAAAAGAATGTTGATAACATGATAGCTTAGTAATCATGGGTTGATAAATGATATAAAACAATATTCAGTAGTGGCATGTAATAAGTATATTGTAATGATATTATAAATTAAATAAATTTTATTATTTATACAATAAGTACCTTTTTACTATTATTTAATTATAATCAATCTAATCTTGCATTTGTAATAATTATTAATTGAAAAGATAGATAACAAATCTAAAACCAATTTACCATTTTGACCAGAAATATTTGCCACACTTTTCATAGATTAACTGCCCTTATTTACAACACTTCCGTGAAAATTTGCTTAGGTAAATAGCATTAAAAGTAGAAAATAACACTAAGGGGCTTTTTTTATGGATGATAATGGAATGGTAACCCCACCTTTGTTATTGATATGCACAGGCAGGGCACCAGTGAGGGATGAAGGGTGAGGAAGGAAGGATGTAACAATAGGGTGGTAGAGTGAACAAAATGCTCAAGCCTGAGGGGGTCTGTAGGTATCATTACCTCATGCACAAGAATCTAATATTTATTTATTAACTAATAAAAAAATATTTATTCATTTAAGAATTACCATATTAACTCAAGAACAAACACAAATTATACCAATAAACTACTAAGATGAAAAAAAACTATGCAAGTTTGCTATTCTACCCATAGAAAATTCTTTGAATTTTCTTTTATTTATATAATGGGAGGGTCCTTATCTATAAATTTGCCACAGACCCCTGATAGTACAGTTACATCACTGATTATAATATTTTACAAATAATAATTAACAAAATGAAACAATAACAAACATATTTTAACTAAAATACATTTCGAACTGAAGTCTTACCTGTCTAAAAACATATTCCACATCTGTATCATAATGGTTTATACTGTCGCCTCCTTGCAGCAATACAACTTGTCCAGGCGACAATTTATCGACAAGCCTCTGCCTATTTGTGGAAAATAATGACAATGGGACTTCGAAAGTACCCGGACCCATAGACCAGGTAATTGTAGTGGCGGCCATTCTCACTGCTTGATACGATGGTTACCTACAACTGTTGTTTTACAATACTATCAGGTTAATGATAAGATAGATACACTTTGTGTTGATAAAATAGACGTAGTATGATAATCGGTTTTGTTATTGTCTTTGTACTGCGGTGACTTGTCGGTGGCAAAGTTGTTCAAAACAATTTGAAATAATGGTCTCATTTGATAATTTTTCCAAAAAGTTGTAGAAAAATGAAAATAACTAGTTATATAAATTTAAAAGAACGACACAGTTACGCCTGTATGGTTTCGAATATTAGACGAAATGCTATAAAATAAAGTACCTTATATTATGTATATACCACCTGTATACTACGCACAGGTTAGAAAGATCATTTATATCTACTAAATATTAAATACGTAATTATTAAATATAATATCACTGAGAAAGTAATTAGTAGCTATAATTGTTTTGTTTATTACGAAATACAGATCAGAGAGAGTATGTACGAAACTCGCTATCAGTAACGATATAAAGAATTACTCTGTGAACGGCACTGCAGGAATTGATAGCGACAGAACACAATTTTTAAAAGAAAATGAAACCTTCAATGAAACCATTTAAAGCTAATCTTACAATATAAATAATATTTAACAATATTATTAGTTGCAGTGTAGTTTTACTCAAAAAAGCCATATCAATTGGTACGACAAAAAAACTTAACTATTTAATTGTGTTAAATAATATTTTAAAACGTAGTGAAAATCATGTACATTAGAACAAGTATTTAGATTCATGTATTTTTTTATTAAATAATCCATGCAAATTAGGTTTAAATCTTTTAAAAATCCATTAAAAATGTTGCTTGTTCTTTTTTGAGAAAAACTCGGATTATTTTGTTTTTAATATTTTATATAAAACTTTTATAAGTTTTTCTTACAAATTCTTGTATAAAATACGTTTATATATAAAGTTAAACTTGATTATGTTAAGATTTACTTTATGGATTGACCTGAGTCACCGCTATGAGTAATGGAATGCTATTTTTAATATTGCATGGAAATATTTGCATTACCATTTTTTTTTATTTAAAGTGATATGGATATGAGGTGAGATATCTATAAACGAAATTATAAAAACAAAAATAGAGGAAACGGAAAAAATGGCGGGAATGTAGATTGTAAGCAGAGAATTATTAATTTTTTTTTAATATATATGTGTATAGATTGACAATGTGTAATTGTTCGTTATAATTGTGACGCGCTTTGAATATTCTTAAAAATAGAATAACGATGATTTCTGAATCGAGCTTCTTATAAATGACGCAAGCAGGAATGGCCTTTTAAAATCACAGATTAGAGAAACTATATTTAAAGGTGATTATGATTAAAATTTGAAATTGCCATTCAGGAAAACTATGAACAATTGAAAGACAAGAAGAAAAACGAAACACACAAATCATAATTACGGACGACACAAGAAAATATTTGATTTAACGTAGAAAGAGAATGGTAAGAATGACAAACTTTTACTACAGAACAATTGCTACTTGTTTAAAAAAATATATTGCGTAGCACGATTGTTTTTCAACTACTAAGTAGATTATATACATAGTACATAAACGTACATATAATATAACTTATCTGTGATAAATATTGTATTGTTATTTACCATCAATTGATAAAAATTGCAATTAATTCACAATAGTAGCCTTGGTTCCTAAATCGCTTTACAGAGGCTGCACTAATGTTCTGAATATTAGAATTAATATAATAGGTAAATAGTTCAATTTTCAGCTATCCTACCATATTTTGGTAAATAAGTTATAGGTATGGACAACACCTAATGACATCAAGTTCATGATCGCAAAGTAGGTATCCTAAAAACAAGGTAGGTATTTACATGAAGTATAACAGCGCCATCTCCTAGTAAATAGTATAATTTTAATTTCCATAAGCATAGCAAGGAGAGATATTTTCGTAAAATAAATGAACACTATTTTTTTGTCAATAAACGATACTATTAAATATTTTATTATTACTAATTACAATTGTTTACATTGTTATATGTAGGTGCTTACACCTATATGTTCTCAGTTTTTTTTTACACCGAGCAAGAATCACCTTGACGAGTTATGAGTTTGAATCTGGCGCACACCGACGATTAGTCGTGAAATTTTGGTTGTAAGCATGTTGTTTTTTAAATCTAAATGCATAAATTCCAATATTTCATTCTATTCATTGGTATTAATGATAATCTATACATGCGTTAGGTACCTATATTAAATTACCGCTGTGAACATAATACTAATTGTCTATTAATATTATGCTCATTACTGAACTTGATGTATTAAAATAGGTAACTCAGTTAATTGACGTGATGTCTGCTGAGGACTAATATGGGAAGAAATTTTAGATTATAATTAGTAACAAACAAGATTGTTCAGATTATATTAGGGCATTGGTTACTTAATTTTTGCAAAAATTGTTTTAGTGTGCTAGAAATAAGCTTTTAAACCATAAAGTCATTTTAGCATTGATAATTCCTCATAGCTCTGTAGGGTTTAGTTTAAGGGTGTAAGAAATGTTGAACAATTCCACACGCTACAAACAGCTTGATTCTTCAATTATAAATTACTGGCTTTGACCCGCGACTTCGTTTTGCATGCAAAACCTAAACGATCATGATCAGGATAAAAAGTAACATATACTCTCCATGCCATATAGTAAGTGAATGCTAAATTTCATAGCGATTGGTTAAGGCGCCAAGAGGTATCTAACAAACAAACAGTTTCACATTTGTCATCATAACTGCAATACACATCCTTACTAGAATATTATATTTACAGTAAGGATTGTCATACACTTTATGAAAATCCTCCTAGATGGAGTTAGTAGCGATTATGTTATACCATCCGTAAAATGTGGTGAGCACAACTAATGGAATTTAAATTGTGGTAGGTATAATAATTATTAGGGCAGAAAAGAAAACACGTACATATTTCTCAGTTTGAATATTCATCATTTATTAATTAGTTCTTACCTAAATCACAAGATCGACGATAAATTAAACTATCTAAAAATCACAAAATGCACTAAAACATGCACACATGTAATACCTATTACAATGATTTTTATACCTGATCTGGTACAATTGTGCATAATTGCTACGTCTAGAACAGGTATTAGTTTTAAATTATTATTGCCTAAAATTTCCTATAAATTAATAGAAGTACATTGGTAGATACAGCGAATTATAGAATATATATATAATTAGTATATATAATTCCTATATATCGCAATAGCTATTTATTCATAAATTCCATATTAATACGTACTTTACTATGTATACAGATACCTATGTACTCATACACATGATGAAGTAACTGTATTATTCTAAAGTAGGTATGTACAGTTAGCTCTACAATCACTTTGAATTGAAAGCTTTGAGTTAACTTGATCCATCTTAGATATTTAAATAGATAGTATTCGCTAACACAATAAATATCTATGATTATATTATTTTAAATGCTTTCAAAATACATAATAACATGTAATTGCAACTTTTTATAATAAACATTTCAAAATGGATAGTAATAATGTCTAGATAGTTATTATTTATACATCTATAAAGATAGTTACCTATATACCCAGTTACAAATGGAACGTCTGGCTGAAAGTGGGTTAATTATAATTTTTTAAATTACAAAATAACTGATGTTCATAAATGGTACTGAATAGTTAATATAGTGCACATAATCAATAGTTAAAGCTTTTCAATACTTTACTTAATAATTTATAAGTATACTATAATTCGTGACAGTAATAATAAAGAATGGAAATGTCATAGCGTGATTGACTATTTTGTTGAACACTAAATTATTTTAATATTTTAGAAATAAGTTGATCAGAATGCATGATAGTACCATAATCTAAATTGTGACAATACTAAACGCTAGTTACGTCATTCAGTACTTTGATCAGTTAAGGTCAATATTTAACGAAGAATAAATATTATGATTGTAGAGTACGCGCGGCCATTTTGGTTGGTTCTCGTGACTGAAGTCGTACGTGGCACGTCATAGATGGCCGTCTCTCTCTTACACACTCTCTGCTTATAGCACCATTGTAACCCGACACGTTTCTAACACACAAGCGATTTCACAACACGTTTTACACTTTCACAACTAAAATGTTTTGTTTATAAATTATGAATCCACGGATATTTCATGACATGGCTGTTTTTTTTCTTGAAGTCTTCTAACAGCCTCAGCAACAAGGGCACGTTGTTCCAACAGTCTTTCTACTAAATCGACAGGTTCTTGTTTCCTGATGTAATAAGGTGCAGCTCTGGCTCTAGCTTGTAGGTGAAGTTTTTGTTTCAGGCCAAGGGTAAGCTCCTCTATTGCGGGTAATCTACTAGATGCTAGAGGACGTCCTTGTTCTTCAGAGCTATGACGGTGTTCGTATCTAGTCTTTTCCTTCAACATAGTGATGGACTCGAAGTTATGTACAGAATAGTTTATCTACAAGTCAGAAATTTCACAGGCGAGGCGCGGCGCAACGGACAACGCGCAGTGTTTGCAAATAACGAATGAATGAGCGAGTGAGCTGTCTCGACCCCAGCGTAGGGAAGACAGGTCTCCGCGGGGTAAAGGGAAGGGGGAATGACGTAGACAGATGCGCATTCGTGCCGGGCTGTATACAAACAATACGATGGACGTAAATAAACACAAGATAGAATTATTTATGTTACTTGTAGATCTCAGTGCCTATTCTGTCTGTTATTAACAAAAGCTATTTACTACCTTAACTGTAGTTGTATCCATCTATTGTAATATTTATTTAAACCTGCTTTCTATGTGGTCATAAAAATAATAATAAATACCATACCAGCGTTACTTAGATGTTGGCGAAATATTTAAAGAATCTGCCCTACTTTCTATACATAAGATATACCTATGTGTATTACGGAAATAAATCGAGGGCGCTAATAGTTCTACCTGTCTAGGTTGAAGCTTGTAACGCATAATTATTTTCGTAGTTAGGTAGTACCTATCTGGAAAATTACTATTAAAATAGCTTGAATTTTTTTTTAATTTACTCAAATTATAACTAAGTACTTAACAAAATATTGGGGCTATGCATTTTGGAATACTTTTTTAATAAGTGTTATATAAATTTATAATTAATACTCCCACTTCTGGCCCACATTTTGATTATTTTCTTTTATATCTGAATAGTTTTGATAATCTTAGTCTATTTATAGCATAAATAAAAAACGGACACATGGATAAAGACATTTTTTTTATTAATTAAAATAATCATAGGCATAAATTTTTAATAATAATGCTTATTTAAGTTAGAAAATGAAATATAGCAGATTTTTAAGTGTTCGTTTAGTGGAAAAGTTCTTTTTCTACATCCTAACAATTTTTTATTTTAAGGCAATGATATGCAATTTTTGTTCTGACATATTTTCGTATTTTTTTGAGATATAT